CCCCTCCACAACATCCTCCCCCGCAACCACCCCAATGACCCCACCCTCCACACAATCCCCCCCTGTCTCTCGACGCCTCGCATCCTCCAACGCCCGTGTGAACGCCTGAGCACGCGGGTTAGTCGATGCCATAAGTCGAGCCCTCTCTCGCTCCATGATGTCGCGTGCCTCATCCGGAGACCCCGTCGTCGTCTCTCTCTGGGGCTGCGTGTGACTCTCTCCAGCCGCGTCGTCCCTCGATGGAGCGCGATCCGTCGATGTCGCCCCGCCGCAACTAGGTGGAAGGCCCATCGACATATCTAAGTCCAGGTGGCTCCCCATCTGCGAATCCGAGATCCCCAACCCCCTCGCCACACCAAGAGTCATGCCCGCCATGACCGGATCGTACTGCTCCGTGAGGAACGCTGCATATGGCGCTCGTCGCCGCCCCCACGCGACACCTCCGCCTGTGGCCCTATCTCCTCCTCCACTGCTCCTGGCACTCCCCCCTCCACTGCATCTGCTCCTCCAGCTGCTCCTGCTGCTGCAGCCACAAGCCCATCCAGTGCAGCTGCTCCTCCAGCTGCTCCTCCCGCTGCTCCTCCAGCTACTCCCGCCTGCCCCTCCACTGCATCGACTCCCACTGGCGGTGGTGCCTCCTCCCCTAACACTGAAGCTGCTTGCTACTCTAGCAATGAAGCCGCTGCTGCTACAACTATCTGGTCCACCACACCTGCAATCGTCGTGTTCGCCAATCCCCCCTCCACTGCCATCTCCCCCTCCACTGCTGCTGCCGACGGTCCCCCCTCCTCCTGCAAGACCCCCGGAGAAGGTGATCGTAACCTCAGCTGTGGGACTGCCCCACCTCTGTGGAGTAGTCCGCGCTGAGGCAAAGAGGATGCCAACTCCTCCGTGTCCTCTGCTGTTGTGGTCGGCTCATATGGCGCGACGGGCGATGGCGGTGCAGGACTCGGAGCAGAAGGTGGCGGCACGGACGACTCTCGCCTCGTCGGAGCGGGGCTCGTCGCCCGCGCTCCTGTGTCGCCCGTGGAAGCGACCTCCCCGAACAGTCCCCACAACTCCTCCTCTCCCCCCATCATCTCCCTCTCCGCCCTGTCCGCCGCCCGTCGTGCAGTATGCGCCCTCGTCTCCTCCTCGGGATCCTCGTGCGTCTCGTCGATCTCACGGGGAATGCGGAGCGCAGGGTGGTCCGCTGCCTCGGGTACCGGCTCCTCGTCGGAATCATCCTCCCTAGGTTAAGCATGGAAAATGTAAGCATGTCTACCGAATACGGCCTCAGCGGCGGGTGGTGTGGAAACCCCGATGGGATCCCGGGTGATAAGCGCAACCTGAAGGGCAATCTCCTTCGGCGTCATCCCCCTGCGCACTGGCTCCAACTCCAGTCCGGCCTGGCAGTCTAGCATGCCCTCGTCCTGCTGCCATGGCACCACATAACCGCACCCAGCCCGCCGATACTCCGACAACCGCACATTCGCGGTGATCTCAACGAGCTGAACGACCTTCTCAAAGGCCAACTGGTTGCGCTTCTTCGTGTGAATGCCCTCGTGGACTAACCCATTCCTCTCCGCTGGAGAAGTTCAAGACCACATATGCATCACACGAAGAGCGCAGCGCTGCAACTCAGGTACGCCAGACCCGTACTGAGACCACTAGGACGCGCACTCAATCGTCTCCTTGTCGCCACTGCAAGCACGCCCACGAGCACGCCCCTCCCCCCCTCCCCAATCCCCAAATGTGCCTTGCTGCATATGGAAGTCCTCAAACTGCCGACATGCAATGATGTACTCCATACCATCCTCGTCGAAAACCGTCTGCGTCAAAATGTACCTCTTGGCTTGCCTCACAAGCCAACGAGGGTAATCCCTCACCTCGATCGAAAAGTACTCAACATGTCGCCTGCGGCGGTTCAGTAAGAACCCCCCGCAGTGAGCAGGCTCCAGCATGTGCTGTGTGCGAGCCTGCACACGTCTGATGATGCGGTCAGTGAAAACCCTCCCCAAAGGAGCGCATGCATCAGTGACACGGCGGACAAGATCCTGTGTCCACTCGATCATGAGGGACATGTACTGCCCCCCACGATCCATCCGCCTAAGCATCTCCATGACAGGCCGCATGATGTAGAGTATGATGGCCATCGTGTGCCACCAAGGCTCCCATCTGATCTGCCAGCGCACCCAATGCGCCATGTCGCACACATCGGCAGACCAAGATATAGAAGCAAACTCTCGCCCGTCATCCCCTCGCATCATCGCCTGCAGAGCGTCCTGCAGGGCCAACAGTCTCTCTTACATAGAATAAACAGACGCGAACCGCGTCTCGCAAGAAAGCACAAGCCCCTTGTTGGGGCTGCGCTTCCTAAACAAATGAAGGACAGCGTGGTGGGTTTTGAAAAACACCACCAGAACATGCGCGCGTGTAATCGCGTCCACAAACGCATTGCAACTTGTCCCCATGTCTGACAACAATTTGTTGCAAACATGGACGGAACACGGAAGCCAAGTGATCCTCCTCAGTGCACGAGGGATGTCCGGCGAGGCCAATGCCCTCGCACCCCCCACGTACGCGGATGCGGAGTCTGTGCATATCACATTGACCCGCTGCGGGCCGCCGAAACTAAACTCGTGGAAGATGGTCACCCATCTCCGAAGGACATGCACTGGATCGTCCGGCTCGCCCTCGCGATTGATCGTCATGTACACAACGACCCCTCGCGAGCCGGCGGCAAGGAAATTCACGATCGGTCTTCCGTCTTGTGATTTCCTCTCGTCGGAAAGGAGGGTGGCACCAGTGATCCAGAATGGCTGCCTCACCTCCTCCAACTCCTTCGCCAGCTCCTCACGGTGGGTCTCCAGCGCCTACATACTCGCAATCTCGCTGTGGCTGGGTAGCTCAGCGCGCGGGGAACTGCCAGGCTGCTCAAGAAGGACCTGCTGGTATGCCTTCCAAGCCTGGTTGCGGAAGGCATTGAAGGGGACCCCGCTGGAATAGAGCCAGCGAACTAATGCCTTCTTGTGTCGAGCAACCCACTCGCCACCGTAGACGTCAGTGACCTTCTGCTGGCGAAGCCTCTTCCCAGCTGGGGCGGCGGCCGAATCTGTTCCACCTTCCTTCCTCTTGGTAGAACCCTCCCATATAGGTCCCTTGGCTGCTCGCCTCAAAATGTCCTCCATCCTCTCCCAAGTGCCTGGATAAACCTCACGCACGTCCTCGTGTCCCGGGACTCCCTACTCGCCCGGGACACGCGCCTCGCGATCGATGTCGATCGCGCCCTCCTCCGTGTCTCCACCTCCACCATCTCCCCCGACCCCTCCTGACGCTCCCTCCATGGGCTGCCACCCCGCCTCTCCTCCCCTCACACCACCCGTGCCAGGCACATCGAGTCCGCGCTCCGCCGCGTACCTGGCAACCCTCTCTATTTGATCGCTCTCGAACTTCTGTTGACTCTGTTGCGCGATCTCGTACAAAGCCTCGTCGCTGACGTCCTTGCAGTAGTTCGTCTGCGTGAAATGCCTCGTCGCCTGGAATTGGCTCCACCGAAATACTTTGTTGCAAAAAGTGCAACGCAGCATCATGACCCCCTTGTTGTCGACCTTCTGGTCGACAACCAGGTAACGGTACACAGGGGAGCAGCCCCTGAATGTGTCCTGAACATGGTCAGGGGCGGGCTCATGCTGACGCCGCTGCGACCTCCCCATGTCGGCCGCCCTCGCCGCCTCGCGAGTCAACATTCGCAACCCCCTCCTCCCCCCCGAACGCGTGGCCTCACCATCGACCGGCTGCCTCCCTCGTATCCCTGTTCGACAACCCTCCGATAAACCCCCCCCCACCCCCCCCCCCCCCCCGCCACCCCTGCACGGCCCCGCCGAACCCCGCCGAACCCTGCCAAAAAGGGGTCAGATCCGCGCATTCAATCGCGTTGAACGCCGTTAAAACGCGTTCAATCGCGTGCAATCGCGTTTAACGCCGTCGAATTAAAAATTCGACGGCGTTCGTCGGGTTCGAGCGCGCGCGCTTTCATCCGTCGTCGACCCGCTCTGCCGCTTCCCCGCCATCGCCGCTCCGCTCCGACGCGCTCCACGCTCC